TTTTATTTCTGTGGATAGATACATGGCTGTCACTGACCCTCTGATCTACCCGACCAGGTTCACCCCGTCCGTTTGCGGCTCCTGCATTGTCTTCTCCTGGCTTTTCTCGGTTACTTTCAGTTTCTCACTTCTTTACTCGGGCGCAAATGAAGCTGGCTTGGAGGACCTAGTCAGTGCTCTCTCCTGTGTGGGAGGCTGTCAAATGGCAGTAAATTCAAAGTGGGTGTTTGTGAGTTTTGCTCTATTTTTCATCCCTACTCTTGTGATGAAAGTTGTTTACTCCAAGATTTTTCTCATAGCTAAGCAACAAGCTAGAGAAATTGAAAGTCTGGGCAATAGGGCTGAGAAATCGTCAGATAGCTACAAAGACAGAGTGGCCAAGAGGGAGAGAAAGGCAGCTCGAACCCTGGGGATTGCTGTGGTAGCATTTCTGGTTTCATGGCTACCCTACTTCATTGATTCAATAATCGATGCCTTCCTAGGGTTCATCACGCCCACATACATCTATGAAATATTGGTTTGGTCTGCTTACTACAACTCAGCGATGAACCCCTTGACCTATGCTTTCTTTTATCCTTGGTTTCGAAAAGCCATCAAACTAATCATCACTGGCAGAGTCATGAGAGAGAATACTTCAGCAATACGTTTATTTTCTGATTAAGCTCTGATTTTTTGATTGGGGAGTTGGGAGTAGGTTCACAATGGATTCATCATGAGGAGAATAATGAGTCATAAATATATAAGACTTTTGAATGGAAACTCATTTAACCATGCTTGGGCTTTGACCCCTTAAATTCAAGATCACTGTTCTTTAGGATATGTAACACTGAAACCTCATTGCTGTGGAAATAGCTAACCCTGCAGACAGAAATACCTAGATTCCAATGCCAGCTCTGCCACTGAACACCGTGATCGCCCTTTAATTTTCTGCCTAAAACTACTTCCTGATAATTTCTTCAAAGAGCCCTGGTGGTGCAATATGCCAACTAGTGTAGCTTTAACTGCAAGGTTGAAAGTTCAAATCCATCTGCTGCTCCAAAGGAGAACAATGAGGCAGTCTTCTCAAAACTCAAAACCCACTACTATCAATCTGTTTCTGCTGTAAGCAACCATATAGGACTCCTGTGTGGGTTTTTGAGGATGTAAATATTTGCATAAATAAATAACCTCCTCTTTCTCTTGTGGAGTGGCCGATGGGTTCCAAGTGTGGATATTTTGGCTAGCAGACCACACATACCCTCTTACACCGCTCGGCTTTAGGACCTGTTTCTGGAAAAACTAGCTTTGCATACTCTCTGGAGCATCGTGCAACTCTGACTTAGGGGGTCACTGTGAGGTGGAATCAACTCCATGGCAACCGATTTAAACTTCTTAGAATCAATTTGCATAATTCTTCACGTCAGATATTGGAGATGATTCATTTAGTTTGATTTAGTGGTTTTACTCATAATGTTTTCTAAACATGTTCTATGAGTTGTAGAATAAGAGCATACATCCATATTTTAAATATGATTAATCTAAAACCACAATGTTTAGAATTTTAATGAAAATCATAAAGCTTTGAGTTGGAACAAGTACTTCTA